TCTTGAGTCCAACAGGGAAGTGACTTAAACTGCAATTCATCAACTGGCCACTAGAGCTCCAAAGGAGAGTCAATCGCATAGACCCCCAATGTTAAATTGTTAAATTGCCCAACTTCACAGCAGAAATAAATATGTTTACAGCCTGGTACTAAAAGTGGTTTTGGTCTATATAGCTAATTTTGCCCTTCATGACAACTGTGAGTGGGGTGAATTTTTTTAATAACTAATCCGTTTAAATTATATTAAGCCTTACAGTTCTGCATAATTAAGGGCGTGGCCACTTGAGTGACAGGTGGATTTCCACTGATGTCACTACTAGCCATTTGTCTGCTTTCTGTTAGCCGTCATGTCACCTCAGCTAATCCCGCCTTTTTGCCCATTTCGGTTATCCGGGAGTGACACATAGCCAAGATGGCGATGGCCAGCTCCGCCCACTTTGGGCTTCAAAAATGCTCTTCAGAAACCAACAGGTGATGTCATGGACACTATGTCCATATTTTTTTTTTATTATATATATATAGTCTATAGGTTTTAAAGTTATTTTAGCTATTTGAAGAAACAATGTTGATGATTACTATTCATGTCAGATTTTATTGCTGATTTGAAATGTATCCATATTTCCACATTTAATATCTACCCGATTAAACATTCCTCAAAACATCTTCTTTTATCTTCAACCAAAGAAGGAAGATAATACCAGTTTGTAAACACACAAGGTAAACATGACTAAATGATGACAGAACTTTAATTTTGAGTTAAACAATCTCTTTATTTCAAGTTCCTTGGCTACCATAACACTCCAGGCTCAGTGTCAGATTCTGCCCTATTAACGAAAAACATTCAGTTTTCATGATGATAAAATGTAAACACAATTTGATTAGCCAGTTTGAATCAAGTCCCAAGCTCGCTCACAAAATATGACGAATGTCTTCTGCCTCACTAAGTCCAGATGATGGAGGAAAGAGTGAAAAGGAAAAAGAGAAATGGCTTGAGAAAAAGAGACACATAAAGCTGTCTGCAGGACTATGTCTCAATCAGTGGCTCTGGAGAGTTCAAACATCTGTCTAGAAATGTGCTCTGTGTTTATGCATGAAAAACCAGAATGGGGTGGCTTGACTTGCCTGCAGGCAGCAATAGTGCAAGCGAAGGTGACATTTGAGTTCAAGTGTAAATGAGTACAGTGTTAATGTCAAGCTAACCTTTCACTGCGATGGAAATGTTTTGACACTGTTTCGAAGCGCTGATGCATCTCTTTCACTGTTTATCTTGTACAGTTGAACATGATAAGGAGTTTTTGCCCGTGAGGCGCCATCACAGAGAATTCCGATTTGACCTGTCCAAGATTCCCGAGGGCGAGGCGGTGACTGCGGCTGAGTTCCGGATCTACAAGGACTTTGTTCCAGAACGCTTTGACAACGAGACCTTCCGTATCAGCGTCTACCAGGTGCTGGAAGAACACTCAGACAGGTACATCTACGTTCTGTAGCGTATCATTCATGTTAAAGGATTAGTTCACTTTAAAAAAAAAAAACTTTTGCGGATAATTTACTCAGCCCCATCTCATCCAATATGTCCATGTCTTTCTTTCTTCAGTCGAAAAGAAATTAAGGTTTTTAATGAAAACATTCCAGGATTTTTCTCCATATAATGGACTTCACTGGGTACTCTCCTGTTCGAACTCGTTCATCAAAATGAATGAATCTTTTTTCGGTTGAATGAACGAAAAGACTCGAAAAAAGATTTGTTCATTTTGATGAACAAGTTTGAACAGAAGAGTCACGAACGCTCATCACAGAACAGAGCAAGGTGAGCATTTGTTCTTATAAAACTTAAACTTTGTTTTTTATTTTTGAAATGATCGATCTTTTCGCTAGATAACACCCTTATTCATCGTCTGGAATGGTTTAAAGCCCTTTGAAGCTGCACTGAAACTGTCTTCCATTATATGGAGAAAAATCCAGAATGTTTTCATAAAAAACCTTAATTTCCTTTCGACTGAAGAAAGAAAGACATGGACATCTCGGATGACATGGGGGTGGGTAAATAATCACGCAAAAGTTATTTTTAAAGTGAACAACTCTTTTAACTGTGCGTTCACATAGCGGGTCAAATTTGTGTCTACCGCGTCTAGTTTGACGCTTGACCCCTTTTGTGTTAATTTGCGCATCAAGAGTGAAACTGACGCGCGTAAAAACAAAAGTTTGAAGCTAAATTTACGCGCGTCAGAATCGAAATCCGTTGGCGGGCATTTTTTTATGTCGACCGTGCATTCATCGAGAGAGTCAACGCTCTGCATTTGATCTGGAGAGCAGAACAGCACCGTGGGGATCATCGTCGCCGTATTTGTGTCCACCGGACCCTTCGGAGGCGAACCGTTTGGCGAGTTTCACCATTTGCTCGCTCCAGCAGCTGCGCTGGATGACGGCCGCTATCAGCGGTACTTCCGCATGTCCCGCGCCCTGTTTGATGACCTGTTGTCCCGCATCAGAGCGAGGATCACCTTCGCCCTCATCCATCTAATCTGTAATTTATTTTTGTTTTGATGATATATAGAGCACGCCTCCAAAAGTTATTAACCTGTCCTGTGATTTTTTTTTCCTCTCTCACGTCCAGACACAAACTTATGCACATATGGTTGTCTTTACATCATAATAATATTTCATATAATCTAGATATGGAATAAATAACATTCAATACAATATGAACATGTCTCGTATATTGAAATAAAGTTTTGAGTGATAAAATATTTGCTTTGTTGTGCATTAGAACCACACCAGGCATTTAGTCATATAAAAAAATTATTTATTGAAGCATCCAGATACTTCACCACGTGAGCAAGCAGCAAGCTCCTGATTGGTTAATGCAGCGCGAGTTTGATGCCAAAGTTCAGATTTTTCAACTCGGGCGGCAGACGCGAATTCGCATTAAACGCGTGAATGCACAATTAGCACTAACTAAATCATTCGCGCTTAACGTGCCAGACGCTCAATACGCGCAACACTCTACGCGCCACACTCTACACCTCATTCGTGCCGCAGGAATTTTTTACGCATGTAACGCGACTTTGCATTGACTTAACATTGAAATCATTCGCACCTGACGTGCTATTCGCATCCGGTGTGAACGCACCATAAGGGCTTCAAGCAAGAAGCACTCAGACAAGCAAACACATCTGTCATTGGACACTAGGTGGTGCTATAACAAGGTCCTTCATACATTCTGCTAACAACAGAATTAACTTTTTAGTACTCAGAATCCTTGGGTCAACATCTAAATATAATATTCTTGTCAGTTTCGTTTCCGCATATAAAATTTCTCTGCTATTTTTTTTTTCTTCTTCTTCCTACTTATTTGAACACCTCTTAGACCGTTCATCAAATTTTGCACACTGCAGAAGGGGGCTATGCTGGAAAAAATGATTTTGATTTAAAGTTGCAAACTTAACGCAACTTTTTAAAACTTTATACACATAAACCACAGGACATTGAGGATGCACTCCAAGTCATGTAAAAATTACACAACTGCTACAAATGACAATCCCCAATAATGCCGTTACCGGATGATCAGTGAAGTTTAAAATTGGTGTGCATCTTCTCTGGTGGACATACCAACAGATCCTCTATTATTACTGGTATTATCACATTTCAACAACTAATAACACCAAATATGAATGGCCTACTCTTACAAAAATGGATCATGTGAAAATGAGAAAAAAAATGTTTTTTCCTCGGAATCTTACAGTGCCCTCGAAATCGGTTGATCAGTATGCATGTCCATATCCACAAGAAACCTTTTCTGGCATTTTGCATGTTTAAATCAGCCTCAGAAATATGAAAAATGTCTGCAGATTCCATGTGGGCCTGCATGTTTACTATTTTTTATTTTTATTTTGGGTGTTTCTTTGCCTGGGAATTGGTTTCCAAGGAAAATCCATTCCTCTTGAGGGCTATAACGCTCTCATCCCCTCTGGTGCGTAAACGCTGGACACATTTGATTTGTGTTTCCTTTCCTTCCATTTCTTTTTGCCGCACACACAGTGCTCAGTCTAACCATCCCAATGCAAACTTTACTGTTGCCACCACACCATGTTTCCTATTCCGACTCAGCGGCTCCCCTCTCAAAGAATCAGTTGTGCACCACAGGGCTTCCCTTCACCGCACGCTCGGGACCTTCTAGAATGTCGGCATGACCCGCGCTGTGAATTGGGATCAAGAACGTCTAGCTCCTCCTACGTGCTGCTCGACCCCTCCTGAAGGCCTCAGGTGCCTCGACAGGTCTGTGGGGAACAACACACCTCATTGTGCTCCCATCAGGGAGAGAAAAGAGACAAAAACGGAGTGATAAAGGAGACTGAATTAGACTGAGGCAGCAGATGTTGAGCAGAACAGGTGTTTGGATCACACACACTGAGCACCTGAACTACTCTGGGGCTTTGAAACTTCTAAAGTGTGTTCATTTAGGTCCAGTCTTTCTCTCCCTGCAGCGTTTACCCTTGTCTTTTGTTGTATACTGCTTCTCGGTCTCTTTCTTGCGCTGTCTTCTTGACTTGCTCTGAATTCCTCTGTTTGATTTAGTGCAGGGCAGCCACACTGTGAGATCAACAGCCGTTTATAAAGCCATTATTGTCAATTAAGGAAATGAAGTGCTCCCCAGGGCCTAACCATCTGGAGCGAACACGCTGTTCATCGCTCTCCCGTTTCTCAACTTATTTCACTTTCCCCCCTCTGTTTCACATTATCCACCACCTTCTCCGTCTTTCACAGTAAGGGTTGTTCAAATCAGTGTCTTTTCCATTTTGAAAACAGTTCAGTCTTCAATTAACTATGGCTTACTGCACACAAGCATGGTAACAGATATGACAGGTTACAAACCCATTACTGATAATATATAATATAATACGGGTTGGTTTTTGGTTTTATGTTTTTAATTCTGCGGATACTTAATAGTCAACGCGTTCTCATCCCAAAGCGCCATATAGGACGCTTTTGCAAAAGCGTAAATATCCAACGCACATTTCACCCTTTAACGTCTAATGAGACGCTTCGGTTATGGTTAAGTTTAGGTAAGGTGTAGGGTAAGGGTTAGACCACTAGGGGGCGCCTTCTGCCCAAATATATCTGCGTCCCATTTCACGTTAAAGGGTGCCATGTGCGTTGGATATTTACGCTTTTGCAAAAGCGTCCTATATGGCGCTTTGGGATGAGAACGGGCTCTAATAGTATACCTCCAGAAAGTGAGTTGTGCCGCGGCAGCACGCACTCTCACGTCTTCAAACAACACGAGTGAGCTCTGTTTTGCTCTCTCTCCCTCACGCTTATTAATCAAATCAATTGACACGATAGTAAAAGGTTGGAAGACCGCAGTTTCACGTGGAGCATTTGGAGATTTTTAGAGATTAGAGACTCAATGAACAACATCTCAACACTATAAAAGCCGGTCTCATAGACGCCTGTCTCAAATACAAGCCGGTGCATTTCGACAATATGTGAAAATAAAAGCCTGGGCTATTATTTGAAGTTTACGGTATTCATTTTGTTCATATTACATTTTTATTGTTAATTTGAATTAATTTGACAGACAGCATTCGCTGATGTTGATCAAGCTAACACCTTTCAGAGCTGCCAACTCTCACAAATTTGCCGTGAGACACGCAATTGACACTTTTCACACGCTCTCACGCCACACATCAATTTTATCACGCACAGAAAAGGACACGGAAACCGACAGACTAGACAGAGCAGGTTAGATATGATATATAAAAAAATCTCAGCTCTCACATTCCGTCAATTTTATTACGCAATTCAAACAATAAATACCGTTTTGGCGCTGGTAAATGTTACACGACAGATCCTTAGCGCACGTGAACGATAATCTCTAATGGCTAATGGTAAAAGAACACAAACACTGTTGAAAGATACAGTATGCTACAACTTACCAAAATGTACTCCTGCATAATATCCACCAATCATTTTTTGAACTCTTCCTGAACTGAAATGTACAGTAGTAGTGGAAAGTACAGCCCACAAGCCATGCGAGTTACTCGTGTATTGCAGTTTGGCTGGTGGTTATGTTGCCCGCCCGCATGCTGCCTCCCATGGCCGAAACTGGTATTACGACACCTGCCGGGCCGGGGCTAGTAATTTAGCATGCTAATTCAGGTTAATATCTCTGCAGCACTATAACTTGTCATTTTTTTTGTCATTCTATAGACTCATTACATGCAAAGTGAGATATTTCAAGCCTTTATTTGTTATCATTTTGATGATTATGGCTTATAGCTTTGAAAACCTTTTCCCAATATTCTAATTTTGAATTTGGGGTTTCCATAAGCTGTAAGCCATAATCATCAAAATTATAACAAATAATGGCTTGAAATATTTCAATTTGCATGTAATGAGTTTATATAATTAATGTCACCTTTGCATTTGAATTACTGAAATAAATTAACTTTTGCACAATATTTTAATTTTTTGAGTTTCACCTGTGTATATGTACAGTATATATATATATATATATATATATATATATATATATATATATATATATATATATATATATGCGTATCATACACACACACTCACCTAAATGATTATTAGGAACACCTGTTCAATTTCTCATTAATGCAATTATCGAAATCAACCAATCACATGGCAGTTGCTTCAATGCATTTAGGGGTGTGGTCCTGGTCAAGACAATCTCCTGAACTCCAAACTGAATGTCAGAATGGGAAAGAAAGGTGATTTAAGCCATTTTGAGTGTGGCATGGTTGTTGGTGCCAGCACTCTAAAAATGCTGGGTTGTTTTAACACAATTTTGGGTGACATATGGACAAACCCAAATGTGGGGTTAAAAATGTCATTTAAAAATATAACCCAACGGCTTGTCCATATTTGACCCAGATTTGGGTTAAAACAATGTAGCATTTTTTAGAGTGAGACGGGGTGGTTTGAGTATTTCACAATCTGCTCAGTTACTGGGATTTTCACACACAACCATTTCTAGGGTTTACAAAGAATGGTGTGAAAAGGGAAAAACATCCAGTATGCGGCAGTCCTGTGGGCGAAAATGCCTTGTTGATGCTAGAGGTCAGAGGTGAATGGGTCGACTGATTCAAGCTGATAGAAGAGCAACTTTGACTGAAATAACCACTCGTTACAACCGAGGTATGCAGCAAAGCATTTGTGAAGCCACAACACACACAACCTTGTGGCGGATTGGCTACAACAGCAGAAGACCCCACCGGGTACCACTCATCTCCACTACAAATAGGAAAAAGAGGCTACAATTTGCAAGAGCTCACCAAAATTTGACGGTTGAAGACTGGAAAAATGTTGCCTGGTCTGATGAGTTTTGATTTCTGTTGAGACATTCAGATGGTAGAGTCAGAATTTGGTGTAAACAGAATGAGAACATGGATCCATCATGCCTTGCTACCACTGTCCATTCCTATATGGCCACCATGTACCCATCCTCTGATGGCTACTTCCAGCAGGATAACGCACCATGTCACAAAGCTTGAATCATTACAAATTGGTTTCTTGAACATAACAATGAGTTCACTGTACTAAAATGGCCCCCACAGTCACCAGATCTCAACCCAATAGAGCATGTACATGTAATTATACATTTATGAATAACAAGTTAGAAACAGTATAAGGGGCTGGCATATATTTCCCCACATTTCCCTACTGCTTTAATCACTCAGTGCATGCTATGTTTGGTGGGATACGCTGTCATATGCACTCTCTCCATTAGGGATTCAGATTTGTTCCTGCTGGACTCACGGGTGATCTGGGCAGCAGAAGAGGGCTGGTTGGTGTTCGACATCACAGCTACCAGTAACCACTGGGTGCTGAACCCGGGCCGGAATCTGGGCCTGCAGCTGGCTCTGGAAAGTTTAGATGGTAAGTGGACGTGCAAACAACACAGGTCACTGGTTCAAAATATGATAGATGAACATTGTGTTGCCTCACAGATTGCAAAAATGAGACCGTTTCTGAGCCCACACTGCTCAGTGCTCAATTTGTTTTGCCTTTGCTTTTGTGCGCCGTTTAAGTTCAGTGCAGTTCAGTTCAGTAAATGTTTACAGTCTCTCTGAAGGGCAATTTATTACATTGCATTTAAAAGCCATTGAAAGAAAAACATCTACATCGGGGGTCCAAACGTTTGAGACCACTAGTGATTTTTTTTTGTATTGCATTGTTTTAATTTGAATGACTTGAAAAAGAAGTACACTTTAAAAAGACGTTTTAAAAAGTGAACTTATTGTGGAACTGAATGTAATGTTTTTGGACACTTAATTGTCTATTATTTGCAATTAAGTGAAAATTTATTTTAAATTCATATTAAATGTAATTAGTTGAGCTTTAGTGTTTTTTGACCCATTTAAATATGAATTTACATGTAATTTCATATTTTTTTGTCTTTTAAATAGTGTTAAAGTTACTGCTGAATGTACTGACAAACATTTATGGTAAACTGAAATACAATTTAATATAATTTCTATTGTAACTTGTATTTCATGTATTTAAATTAGTGCTTTCAAATCGATTCATTGCGTTTAATCACATCTAGCATAAAAGTTTGTAAAAAAATAAATTGTATATATACTATATATATGTATATATATATATATATATATATATATATCAGTATTAATTGTAAACTTTAATTGTAGTTAAGATTAAGATCATATTCTCAGTATGTTAGTCAACACATCAAAATACGTGCACTTATTAAATGCACAACAAAAGATTATTAAAACATAATGACTTAAAACTTTTAATTTGATGTTTATACATTTTAATACATTTAAAATTTAGTCTTATATCAATGCTTGGTTTGGATATCCACTGTAAACAAAAGTTACTGCCTTACATTTTTAAGTACAATCAACTTGGATATTTAAGTCAATTCAACTTAAATAACATTAAACTGACTCAAACAGTTTTAAAGTTGAAAATTGCTTAACTTATTTTTATAAGATGTTATCACAACTTATTAATCATGTAATTTTTTTATAGTGTAAGTTCTAAGCAATGCAGAATTGAACCTACTATGCTTTTCACTCACTCACTTCACAGCCAGCCGCAGTGGGAGTGTGTTTTGTACCAAAGCTGCGTGATAGGAAGGTGTGTATGTGTGTGTGTGTGTACAGGATGTTACAGGTTTTAAGTGTTAGCATGAAAACAGGTGCAGTGTATTACGGGGCTTGTGTAGATCAGCGAGCTTGTCGAGACATGCTTGCGGGACGCCTGCCCTGTCGCTGTAGGCAACCGGCAACCCGACTTTACCTCGGCGCTCAGACAGAGAGAGCATTCCTTCCTCTTACTTACACACACACACACACAAGCCGGTGTGTAGGTAAAAGGAGTCCAGGATGGCACAGAAACAGATGTAAGTGCTGGAATTCTCTGAGTAAACAGTGAACTGAAAGCGCTCTTGAGAGCTGGAGAGATTACACAAAATAAACACCAGAAATTGCATATTCTTGGAGAACACACACACTTTCTTACACAAGTCTCATGATTTATAAGACTGTGACCGACAAACTGATTATTATATAATGCATATAACGCGATTTATTAGGCCACATGGCTCTGACAAAGTGAAGAATTGCTAAAGTGTCCCGTAGAGTGATATATGGGGTGTTTAAACAGTCTCTCTTAAGAACCGATTCACAGAAATACATTCAAATACATCTTTCAAGGGGCCCGTATAACTTCACAGAGCTGAGAGACTGCTTCTCTTTTGGGATTTGTACCTGTCAACTTTTTCATCAACAATTCCAAGATGTATTTCTTTCCTCTCAGATCTCAGAGGGAAAACAAATTAGTCATTGATTTCAGATAGAGGTAAATGAGTTTTGTATGTGTCTCCCCCTGCAGGCCAGAGTGTGAACCCATGGGTGGCCGGGCTGGTGGGTCGCAGCGGCCCCCAGAGCAAACAGCCCTTCATGGTGGCCTTCTTCAAAGCTACGGAGGTCCATATCCGAAGTATCCGCTCCGCACCGGGAGGCAACAAGCAGCGCAATCCCAACCGCTCCAAAACTGCCAAGGGCCAGGAGGCACTGCGTGTAGCCAATATTGCAGGTGTGTATGTGTGTGTTTTCAATATTGAATACAGAAGTGTGAAGGCAAGTGAAAAATGAAAACAAATGTAAAGATAGCAATAACAGAAACGAAAGAACAGTATTTAAAAGAATACTTCTATGGAAACTTTCTCAAATGGTCCCAAATGGAAGTGGAAATAACATGGTAATGTTTTCTTGGTGATGAAACTAGTGCCTTAGTTAAGGGTGTAGGGGCGATTTCGGACTCGAGCCTAGAGAAGTGTGCTTAATAGTCTTCTAATCTTATTAGTATAACTGTACTTGCACATAACACAATGGTAAAGAAATAAAAGGTCACTTAACCCTCAGGTGCTCTTCGTTTCAGAGTCACATCTTCCCGGTCAAAAGTGACCGGACACCTAAAAATTAAATTTCCTCCATCCCAGTAAAACCAGTGCAATTTGTTTTTGTTCTATAATATTTATTCTTTGTAATTTAGTATTTTGAGACAATTTGATTGAATTTATTAATATTTATGCAATATTTATGGTCTATTTTTGGAAAAAATACATACATATACAGTATATACATATATATATATATATATATATATATATATATATATAATTTTTTTCCAAAAATTATTAATATAGTATTTTAGTTTAATATAGAGTCTAACAACAGCTATCTGGAATAATATTATAACAGCTTATTATTATTATTTGGCTAAAGTTAGTCCTGAACATAGTGTTATTGCTAATAGTAGGCTACAATGTTATGGCTATAAATAGACGCAACTCACACACTAAATCCTTACAATCTGATATTCGCTAGGGCTATCCAAGTTTAGTCGAGCTTCACTCATATTCTTTTTAAAAAGTTATATTTTCACACACGTTTCACATTAAGTTACAAAAAAGAAGAAACAGTGTGCAACCTCGACTAGGCTGCCTACATAGATGCGTTTTTTAGGACAGCCTGCTTATGGGGCGGGCAGCTAGCAGATCGTTAGGAAAGATTAGATGAATGTGATCATTTTTGTTTGGGCTTGAAATCACTGATACAACCTTTAAGTGTACTTACAGAGAGCACTTTCATTATATTTTTTCATGAACACACTTAAGAAATTTTAACAACTGCACTTCATAATAATGTTAGTTTCCTTTCAAGGGAACTCAAGCTGCGTCGTGACGCTGTGGGAACGCCCCTGCATCGTGAAGCATGTGTTAGGCAGATGATGTCCTAGACCAGGAAACTATAAAGCACATCTGAAAACAGACCGCGCCAGCTTCTGTGCCTTTAGCAAGCACTTTCTGTCTACATATAGCGCCTAAAAACGTGTAGAAAAAGTTTTGCACGCCGCATTCTTCTTTTTCCAAAGCGCTAGGGCGGTTGCGCTCCGGTTGGTTCTTGTCACGTGACCTACTGTTGCGCTTGCGGCATTCTCAAAAGTTGAGACGCCTACATCGGTTCCTGGCCTATGACGTCTCGTGACTGATTATACACATGCTTCACGACGCAATCACGCAGGGGCGTTCCCACAGCATCTCGTCGCAGCGTCTCATTCTCTCTTCAGGAACCAGGGTTATATATGTAACCTCAGTCATTTTACTATAAAGAACATTTCAAATCTGTCGTTGTACTTTACAGAAGTGCACTAATTTTGATGTGTTGACTAACATGTAAAAGCACATGTAATCCTAATTTTAACTGTAGTGTGTTATATAAATACAGTACACTTTAACCATCTAAACACAATATGAAGTTGTACTTAAATCCTATTAAAGTGGGTCAAAAATAACTTTTATGTTCAGCATTTTCCATTCAGGTAAACTATCCCTTTAAGGCAAAGGAGAAGCAGAGATAAATTTGCGTGAGAGTGTGTGTCAGTGTTCATATGGTTCCTATTACTGTGTAATTCTCTGCAGGTTATTTTGCTCAGTAATAGCATTACAGTGTTAAATGGATATTAAATGAATCTGGGTCAATGTTCTACATAGATATGAGGGTTAGGGACTCGGGCAAACTTCAGTGACCTATTCCTCACAGTTCTCCATCTCTCTCACAGTTTAGCCTTAGCTTCAACAGCCTGTCACACATTTGAAGTCTGACAAAACCACTGCTCAAACATATATTTGACTCTAAAAATAACAGACATGGACTTAAATGTGCAAACCATTTTCTCAAGTGATTATAATTTCTGTTTCTAAAGCTCTATAGAAATCTGTCTCTCTCTTTCTTTCAGAGAACAGCAGTGCTGATCAGAAGCAGGCCTGTAAGAAACATGAGCTGTACGTTAGCTTTCGAGACCTTGGATGGCAGGTGTGATATTCCTCTTTTTTTTGTTCTTGCCACATTATTGCTATTTTCTGCTATCCCTATCTGTTTGGCCAGAAACATATTCTACTCAAGAGCACAAGGGGCCAGAAAATGATTCAAAAAGGAAATATATACGTACACAAGTTTGGGGTCAGTAAGATCTGTAAGGATTTTGAAAGTCTCTTATCTCTTATGCATTTATTTGATCAATAATACGGTAAACACAGTTAAATTGTGAATTAATGTGAATTTTTTTTTTTTAAATGTAATCCTGTAATTAGTCCTGTGATCTAAGCGGAATTTCCAGTATCATTACTCCAGTCTTCAGTGTCACATGATCCTTCAGAAATCATTCTGATATGATGATTTGATGCTCAAGAATTTAATTTCATTTCTGATTATTATCAGATAATATAATTTCTGATTATTATCTATGTTGAAAGCAGTTGTGCTGCTATATATTTTTGTGGATACATTTTGTCATGATTCTTTAAATAGAAAGCTCAAAAGAACAACATTTATTTCAAATAGGAATCTTTTCTAAACATCTTTACTGTCTTTTTTGATCAATTTAATGCATCCTTTGTGAATAAAAGTATTAAATCCTTTAAAAACAAAACAAAAACAAAAAAACTTACTGACCCTACTTTTAAGCGGTAACGGATCTTGCAGAGCTCTGCACATGACCTGTGGGGGGAAAAAAATGTTTCTTTATGTTTCTTTGTTGTAGTTAAATCAAAACTAGGAAACAAATGAGTTCAATGTGGCCACAGAATATTAAAATGAGGAAATTAAGAAAGTAACTATTAAATATAAATATATATGTATATAATATGTGGTAAACCATCTTAGTCGATCTGAGGTGCGTCCTGTACAACAATGTAATTTGCTGCTAATCTAACATAGTTCGTTAAAGAAATCTGTTTACCGAAACCGCATTGTCGCAAATTTGTTGTTCGACTAAGTTGGTTCTTGATGTCACATAGGTGGTTGGAGGAATAACTTCTTTTAATGAATCTGTCTGAGATTTGTTCTGCTATTAAATATCATCATCAGATAGTTTTTGTCAGTTATTGGCATCTTGAGGACTAATTCTCATTTTTCTCGTGCGTATGTACTACAGCACGTACACATGTGCACTCTTCAAAAACAGCACTTTAAATCTCTTGAAAAAAAAAAGACATTTGGATATATTCAAAATGAAAGATACAGATTACTCTGAATGTCAGCTTGCTTATTATGCTAAAGATAAGGATTTATTGAGTCCACATGTCATGCTAACAAGAAACTGCTTCTGACCACGGCTCGAGAGCTATCATTCGGAGATTTCAGACCACACAACTTTGCGATGCTTTGCGGATGTTCGTTGGAACTGTGGAATGACAGAAACGCAGAAATTTATGGAAACACGGACTTATTGAACCATAGACATCACAGTGTAAAAAACTCATATTCTTGATTTGTTATCACAACTATTTATCTTCTGTCAAATCAACTTAGTTAATGAATGTGGTTCAGAAAGCATAATATTTTGAGTTTCTAGTTTTTAAACCAATCTCCTTTGTTGTATTAACTTCAATTTTTCATTTCAATGAACTCAATATTTTAAGGCAACTAGGTAACTTGTTGAAGTTAAAAAGGTAGTTCACTTTTGAAGAAACTTTTGCTGATAATTTACTCACCCCCTTGTCATCCAAGATGTCCATGTCTTTCTTTCTTCAGTCGAAAAGAAATTAAGGTTTTTGATGAAAACATTCCAGAATTTTCTCTATATAATGCACTTCAATGGGAACCAAGCGGTTCAAGGTCCAAAAGACACTTTCAGTACAAACTGCAAACTGTTCAAAGGGCTTTAAACGATTCCAGACGACGAATAAGGGTCTTATCAAGCGAAACGATCGCTCATTTAAAAAAAAAAAAAAACAAAGTTTAAGTTTTATAAGCTCAAATGCTCGGCTTGCTCTGCTCTGTGATGCACGTTCGTGACTCTCCTGTTGCGAAGTCCTTCATCAAAATTAACGAATCTTTTTCAGAGTCAATTGGTTCATTCAACGAACGAAACGAACAAATTGACTCGGAAAAAGATTTGTTCATTTTGATGAACGAGTTCGAACAGGAGAGTCACGAACGTGCATCACAGAGCAGAGCAAGGCGAGCATTTGAGCTTATAAAACTTAAACTTTTTTTTTTTTTTTTTTAAATGAGCGATCGTTTCGCTTGATAAGACCCTTATTCGTCGTCTGGAATCGTTTAAAGCCCTTTGAACAGTTTGCAGTTTGTACTGAAAGTGTCTTTTAGACCTTGAACCGTTTGCTTCCCACTGAAGTCCTTTATATAGAGACAATTCTGGAATGTTTTCATCAAAAACCTTCATTTCTTTTCGACTGAAGAAAGAAAGACATGGACATCTTGGATGACATGGGAGTGAATAAATTATCAGCAAAAGTTTTTTGAAATGTGAACTACTCCTTTAAACCAACAATATTTTTTTACAGACGCTCTATCGACCGCTACTGCCTATTGGCACAGACGAGCCGTGGGGCCGCCATCTTAAACCGGTCATCCGCTCCACTCAGTGTAATCTGTATGGCAAGTGATTTGAGCTGTCAGCGCATTTAATGAATCATATCTCACTGAATACCGATATACATGTAAAGTAGCTATATATATATGATACAGGACACATGAGATATTTTAGTCAAAAGATAAAACTTTAATCTTACTTCTGAAAAGTAATTCCCATCCGCCGATTTGAGTAGGAATATGCTGCACAGTGCTCTGGCATCTACCGCCGCTACACAACACAACAGGAGTATGACCGGTTTAAGATGGCGGCCACATTTCTTGTGCCTAGCGGCCAATAAGGCATCTAGCTCGATATGATATCTATTGAACTATGCTGATAATTGTCTAGCGATACTTTCGTGAAACGCACCTCTGGTTAGGGCTGATAGACCTCCAGCTTACAACCAGAAACAAACCAGCTAAAATATATTAAAAAAAAACCCAGCCCAATCGGGTTTAACTTGATTTTTTTTCCCTGCAGGTTTCCTTCTCCTTTTCACTCTACATTCCACTTTATCTCTTACTGTGTTTATGTCTCAAACGGGTTTACGAGTCTGTGTAGCTCAGGCCGTTCACTCCATTAGGCTCAAGAGTACGAGCAACAGAGAGATAGGAGAGCCTCGTTTCTGTTTACACACCGATAGTCTTGCCACCTGTAGCGTATCTGTCTCTCCTACTGGATCACAGCACATAAACACTCTCTCAGACCAGCTGGCGAGGACTCGGAGACCCCAACTCTACCATAACATTTTACACATACCTCAACAGAATTACACTTTATTGTGATCATAATCGGAGCAATCTGATGGTAAAAATGAAGAGTGTCTGGTTGGGAAAGGTCTTGCTCAGGCTTTATGACTAACAGATCTGTTCTCTGTCCATCTCTCAGGATTGGATTATTGCTCCTGAGGGTTACGCTGCTTATTACTGTATGGGAGAATGTGCCTTTCCTCTCAATTCCTACATGAACGCCACAAACCACGCCATCGTACAGACATTGGTAAGCCTCTAACCTGGGTCCAAAACGTACTTTTTTGCCACAGCTGCCAATGATAAATGCCAGATATGAATATTTATAATGCTAAATCTTTTTTTTTTTAAAGAAATTAATATTTTTTATCAGCAAGGATGCAATAAATTGACTTTATGTTATGAAAGATTTGTTTCAAATAAATGCTGTTCTTTTGAACTTCATGTTCATCAAAGAATCCCATAAAAATATTATGCAGCATGACTGTTTTCAACATTGATAATAATAATCGTTTTTTGACACTGAAGACTGGAGTAATAATGCTGGAAATTCAGCTTTGATCACGCACTGTAAAAAAAAATAATAATAATTAAAAAAAAGGTTGGTTTAACTTAAAAAAATTATTTCAAGTCATTTAATTTCAAGTTCATTGAAATGGAAAAATTGAGTTAATACAATGAAGGAGATTGATTTAATCATCATGAACTCAAAATATTATTCCAAACCGCATAAATTATTTAAGTTGATCTGACAAAAGAAAAAAATGTTGCGATTACAAATGAAAAATTACAAACAGTTCTTTTATATTGTGATAATATTTCACAATATTTCCGTTTTTACTGTACTTTTGACCAAATAAATGCGAACAATTGAACAATAGTGTATGTTTGTCTTTATGGCATTTAATCGTTTTTGTTCTTGTAAACGAGTGACAAACAAGAAGCAGCACAATTTGAGGGTACGTTTACACGACAATGATGAGCTAAAAACGGAAAGGTTTTTCATTTGTGTTTTTCGCGCACAGACAAAACGTTGTCAAAACGTGTATCACTTTAAAAAGAAACACTATGTGCTGGGCTATAGACTGAACATGTAATACGCTTGTGCATGACGTCGCTGTTTTCACAAATTCACGATTTTGTAGTTAGGGCCCGAGCACTGATGGTAAGAGGACCCAATTGTTTTGGCTCTGTTTATTATTATTATTCTTCCCTTAAAATAATCGCATTTTAGAGGGCCTAAACATGCTCGAAAACTCATGAAACTTTGCACATGAAGTGGTGAAAATTGACGTGTGGTTTTCAAAATTGGGTGGGGCAAATTCTTTAAATTATTGCCCCCACATTTTGCCCCGGCTCTACATTTCATGTACAGGTATGAAATTTGGTACATACATGTAATGACCCAATACCTACAAAAAAGTCTCTTGGAGCATAGCCCTAAACACAACAGGAAGTCAGCTATTTTGGACTTCCTCCTAGATTTTGTGCATTTTCCGTAATTTCCCGATGTTGTACTTTAACGAACTGCTTCTACAATTTTGATCTGATCCTCTTCAAATTTGGTGAGGGTAATCTTATTGCGACATTAAATTGCGAAGATCTTGAGTTTTTGTCGAATGGTGTGCCCTGACAAATGTACACCCAATTTCAGCCTTTTGGTGATTTGTGCATGAATAGAGAGCCTAAGTCCCGCCCCTCCGCTTCCGGCTCATGGGACCTTATTTCGGAAAAAATATGAATGGTGGTCAATGGCAAGAGACAACTTATCTTTTTATTCCGTCTGAACTGTGCCCTCAATTACACATATGATGATTGTCAATTTAAAAGATAATTCTGAAAGTCAAAAACGTCGCAGTTTGTCATACAACAGAAGAGTAACATTTAGTTTTATGTGAAAATCGCTCTGTGAACTACATCTCCCGGGAAGCGAAACGAGATCCGCTGCTCGTGTGTGTGTGCAGTCTGGTACAAAACACTCAGGTAGGACGGCGTAACGTTAACTCACGATTATAACGTAAGACTGTAGAAACAATGACAGACAGCCTCAGTAAAGTTAGCTTCATTCATTGAGAGAAAATGTGCGTCTTTGGGGTTTGTAGTCTTTGTAATTACGTATTTTCACAGTCTTTTACCTCAACGGGTTTACATCAAACTGCGACTTTCTTTACTTTAAAATCTATCTTTTAAATTGACAAACATCATATGTGTAATTCAGGGCACAATTCAAACGAGATCAAAATATTTGTTATCTCTCGCCATTGACTACCGTTCAATATTTTTCTGAAATAAGGTCCCATGGTTGTCGACCGGAAGGGGAGGGACTTGGGCTCTCTATATGTCATATAGTTCAATGTTGCTTGCAGTTCTGATGTTGCTAGGCAACCACAGACAGCCTGCAGTAACTCAGGCATACAATGTCCGATCTGCCCCAAACTTCACATGTTTGATAAGAGTCCTGTCCTGAACACATGACCATGCTCATATTTGGTTATATCAATAGCGCCACCTGCTGGTATCAAGAAGTGTGGCAAATACAAATACTTTGACATAGTCCTCCTATATTTATTATCATTACATACTGCCCACCGTGCTCTGTCTTCCTAAAACCGCCGGGTGGTGGCGGCACAGGTGAGAGGGCCCTTTTCATCGCTGCTTGCAGCTTTAATTGTAGTTGTAATTACACAGAGACGATAACAGTATTATTTTCAAGAACTTGCACTTTGAAACCCCATTTTCAAAAGTTTGTGTTTTTATACCCCCCAAATGTGACTGTTGTGTTGGTACTTGAACAGCCAAAACGCATAAACGTCCCCTAAAGTTGCCATTCCTAAAACTACCAACGAGTCAATAAAACCAAAAAAGTGTCAATTTTTAACCTTGCATCTAGCAATAGAATAACTTGTTTGTTTTGACCGTATTTTTCTTTTCTCAGGTTCACTTCATCAACCCCGAAACGGTTCCAAAACCATGTTGCGCCCCCACACAACTCCACGCAATCTCCGTCCTGTATTTTGACGACAGCTCCAATGTCATCCTGAAGAAATACCGCAACATGGTGGTCAGAGCGTGTGGCTGCCACTAGAGTCCCATTATACACACACACACACACACACACACACACACACAGTATAGACAATACACAGACATTCACACATCTGACTGGTCCGCATTTGTTATAAAAAAGGAGCAACCATATGAAGATCTCAGGCCAATCCCAGGATTTTTTTTTACCATGGACAATGTGCTAAGTTTTCTTATATGTACAACAGTTAATGTTTTAAATATGGTATAAAAAAGGAAATTACCAGAAAAGACACAAACACCAACATTTGTATGCACACATATACATGCTCACATGTACACACTTTTATATGATACTTGTGCTTTCTACTGTGTAAATAGTTTTTCAACAAAAGAAACAAAAGTGTATTTATTTTCCTGGTCTTCCAACATGGAGTCTAAACATCCTTGTCTTCTGGTCTGTTTTTAATGTGTCCTCCACACTGTTTAAAAAAAGAATTTTTTTGGACCATAACACTTTTTATATATATGAAGAGTTCAGATGCAAAAGCCTCTAAATGCCATTTGAAATTTTCTTCTTTTGATTTTTATCAAACTTGTATATTTAAGTTCAGTAATTTCACTTAAATGGCAATGATAATTACCTATTAATTGTTATTTAAGTTAAATTAATGAAATAAAATATACAAGTTTGATAAAAATCATCATTAAAGAAGAAAATTTCAAATGGCATTTAGAGGCTTTTGCATCTGAACTCTTCATATATAAATGTTGATTAATTCAATACAAGTCATAAAATTACAACATGTGGGATTACCAGCTGCCATATAAACTTATACCACAGATACAATAATACATCAGTGTAATGTATGCAACAAATAGCATTCATTTTCATATTTTGGGGATTTTTAGGATTTTATTCATGGATTTGCCAAACTATGCTAGTTTCTTCACCCTTGTGAAAAAGAAGCGTGCACTTAAAGTGTACTTCAAGTACACTTATTTGTTGACTAAAAAAAGCACATGTAAAGTATTTTATTAAAATTGTAACCATAGTGTGTTATTAGATATTACATTTAAAGTTAATGGATTTTAAATGTATTCAATTTCAACTTAATCACGAATTAAAGGAGTAGTTCACTTAAAAAAAAAAAAAAAAGTTTTGCTGATAATTTACTCACCCCCATGTCATCCAAGATGTCCTTGTCTTTCTTTCTTCAGTCGAAAAGAAATTAAGGTTTTTGATGAAAACATTCCAGGATTTTTCTCCATATAATTGACTTCAATGGGAACCAAACTATTCAAGGTCCAGATGAGAGTTTCAGTGCAAACTGTTCAAAGGGCTTTAAACGTTAAAATGAGCATTCGTGACTCTCCTGTTCGAACTCGTTCATCAAAATGAACAAATCTTTTTTCGAGTCATGACTCAATAAGACCCTTATTCATCGTCTGGTGTCGTTTAAAGCCCTTTGAAGCTGCACTGAAACTCTCATTTGGACCTTGAACCGTTTGGTTCCCATTAAAGTCCATTATATGGAGAAAATCGTGGAATGCCATCCATCCATCCATCTTCTTCCGCTTCATCCGGGGCCGGGTCGCGGGGGCAGCAGTCTAAGCAGAGATGCCCAGACTTCCCTCTCCCTAGACACTTCCTCCAGCTCTTCTGGGGGGACACCGAGGCGTTCCCAGGCCAGCCAGGAGACATAGTCTTTCCAGCGTGTCCTAGGTCTTCCCCGGGGCCTCCGCCCAGTGGGACGTGCCCGGAACACCTCCCCAGGGAGGCGTCCAGGAGGCATCCGGAACAGATGCCCGAGCCACCTAAGCTGACCTCTCTCGATGTGGAGGAGCAGCGGCTCTACTCTGAGCTCCTCCCGAGTGACTGAGCTTCTCACCCTATCTCTAAGGGATCGCCCAGCCACCCTGCGGAGAAAGCTCATTTCGGCCGCCTGTATCCGGGATCTTGTCCTTTCGGTCATGACCCAAAGCTCATGACCATAGGTGAGAGTAGGAACGTAGATTGACCGGTAAATCGAGAGCTTTGCCTTACGGCTCAGCTCCTTCTTCACCACAACAGACCGGTACATCGACCGCATTGCTGCAGAAGCTGCACCGATCCGTCTGTCAATCTCCCGTTCCATCCTTCCCTCACTCGTGAACAAAACCCCAAGATACTTAAAGTCCTCCACTTGAGGAAGGATTTCTCCACCAACCTGAAGTGAGCAAGCCACCCTTTTCCGACTGAGGATCATGGCCTCGGATTTGGAGGTGCTGATTCTCATCCCAGCCGCTTCACACTCGGCTGCAAACCTCGCCAGTGCATGCTGAAGTTCCAGGTGTGAAGGGGCCAACACGACAACATCATCCGCAAAAAGCAGAGACGAAATCGAGCGACGAAATCCCCAAACCTGACACCCTCCGGCCCCTGGCTGCGCCTAGAAATTCTGTCCATAAAAATTATGAACAGAACCAGCGACAAAGGGCAGCCCTGCCGGAGTCCAACATGCACTGGGAAGAAGTCTGACTTATTACCGGCAATGCGAACCAAGCTCCTGCTTCGGTCATACAGGGACCGGACAGCCCTTAGCAAAGGACCCCGGACCCCATATTCCCGGAGCACCCTCCACAGGCCGCCTCGGGGGACACAGTCGAATGCCCTCTCCAAATCCACAAAACACATGTGGACTGGTTGGGCAAACTCCCATGAACCCTCCAGCACCCTGTAGAGAGTATAGAGCTGGTCCAGTGTTCCACGGCCCGAACCACACTGTTCCTCCTGAATCCGAGGTTCCACTATCGGCCGTATTCTCCTCTCCAGTACCCTGGCATAGACTTTCCCAGGGAGGCTGAGAAGTGTGATCCCCCTGTAGTTGGAACACACCCTCCGGTCCCCCTTCTTAAAAAGAGGAACCACCACCCCGGTCTGCCATCCCAGAGGCACTGTCCCCGACCGCCACACGATGCTGCAGAGGTGTGTCAACCAAGACAGCCCCACAACATCCAGAGACTTGAGGTATTCAGGGCGGATCTCATCCACCCCCGGTGCCTTGCCACGAGGAGTTTCTTGACTACCTCGGTGACCTCAGCTAGGGTGATGGATGAGTCCACCTCTGAGCCCTCAGCCTCTGCTTCCTCAGTGGAAGACGTGGTGGCGGGATTGAGGTGATCCTCGAAGTATTCCTTCCACCGCCCGATGACATCCCCAGTTGAGGTCAACAACCGCCCACCCCTACTGTAAACAGCATTGGTGGGGGACTGTTTCCCCCTCCTGAGGCGCCGGACAGTTTGCCAGAATCTCTTCGAGGCCAACCGATAGTCCTTCTCCATGGCCTCACCGAACTCCTCCCAGGCCCGAGTTTTTGCCTCCACAACCACCCGGGCCGCAGTCCGCTTGGCCTGCCGGTACCTGTCAGCTGCCTCCGGAGTCCGACGAGCCAACCAGGCCCGATAGGACTCCTTCTTCAGCTTGACGGCATCCTTTACTTCCGGTGTCCACCACCGGGTTCGAGGATTGCCGCCTCGGCAGGCACCGTAGACCTTACGGCCACAGCTCCGAGCAGCCGCTTCGACAATGGAGGTGGAGAACATGGTCCACTCAGACTCAATATCTCCAGACTCCCTCGGGATCTGGTCGTGGCTCTGCCGGAGGTGAGAGTTGAAGATCTCTCTGACAGAAGATTCGGCCAAACGTTCCCAGCAAACCCTTACAGTACGCTTGGGTCTGCCCAAGTCTGTCCAGCCTCCTCCCCCACCATCGGATCCAACTCACCACCAGGTGGTGATCAGTTGACAGCTCCGCCCCTCTCTTCACCCGAGTGTCCAAGACATACGGCCGCAGGTCAGATGAAACGATCACAAAGTCGCTCATCGACCTACGACCTAGGGTGTCCTAGTGCCACGTGCACTGGTGGACACCCTTATGCTTGAACATGGTGTTCATTATGGACAAACTGTAACTAGCACAGAAGTCCAATAACTGAACACCACTCGGGTTCAGGTCGGGGGGGCCATTCCTCCCAATCACGCCCCTCCAGGTGTCACTGTCGTTGCCCACGTGAGCGTTGAAGTCCCCCAGTAGAACGACGGAGTCCCCAGTTGGAGCACTTTCCAGCACTCCTCCCAGAGACCCCAAGAAGGCCGGGTACTCTGCACTGCCGTTCGGCCCGTAGGCACAAACGACAGTGAGAGACCTATCCCCGACCCGTAGGCGCAGGGAAACGACCCTTTTGTTCACCGGGGTAAACTCTAACACATGGCAGCTGAGCCAGCGAGGTGACGTTCCACGTTCCTAAGGCTAGTTTCTGTGTCCAGGGATCGGGTCGCCGAGGCCCCTGCCTTCAACTGCCGCCCGATCCTCTCTGCACCGGCCCCTTACGGCTCCTCCTGCAGGTGGTGAGCCCACGGGAAGGCGGCCCCACGTCGCTCCTTCGGGCTGAGCCCGGCCGGACCCCGTGGGGAGAGGGCCTTAAATGTACTGTTCTCATAAGGGGGTTGTTGAACCGCTCTTAGTCTGACCCGTCACCTAGGACCTGTTTGCCTTGGGAGACCCTACCAGGGGCATATAGCCCCAGACAACATAGCTCCTAGGGTCATTCGGGTACTCAAACCCCTCCACCACGTTAAGGTGGCAGTTCAAGGAGGGTTTTTTTCATCAAAAACCTTAATTTCTTTTCAACTGAAGAAAGAAAGACGTGGACATCTTGGATGACATGGGGGTGAATAAATTATCAGCTAAAATTTTTAAAGCGTTAACAACACCTTTAAGTTGAGCAACACTTTTTGCCAAGCAAATTACACATACTATATATTTAAATATATGACTCAAGATAGAAGTGACATATTTCAGTTTACCATAAATGCTTGTCAGTACATCCAGCAGAAACTTTAACCATATTTCAAAGAAAATAAGTAATTATGAAATTACATATAAGAGGGTAACTAAGTGGGTCAAAAAACCCCTCTAAATTTGCATATAATTGAAATTAAGTGCCCTGAAATCTTTACATTCAGTTCACTTAAATATATATATTTTTTCTGTAATAAATACTTTTTTCAAAAGAATGACACTTTTTTTTCTTTTTCACAAGGACGATGTTTAGAATGATAAACAGTTTGTAAGTGTAATTTGTTAGACAGGTCCACAATTAATTTTTTGCCAAGCCAACAACAAGTGAAATATGAAAATGCCATAATTACCTTGATATAATAAGAGGATTTTGTTGATTCCTCCACAGCCTTTCAAGGCTCACCTGGAACCTGTCATTTTATTTTGCCTTTTGTTGAAGACACAGAACATTCCCTTCTCCACCCCCCATTTATAAATGGCATTTATGAGGAGCATGTGAGGTGAGGATATCATTCCAGACTCTGATAGTGTTTTACTACAGGCATGGCCCAATAAATAAGTTTGAATAAACACAGGCGGTCCTCTCAGTACAGCGAGCACCTC